AAAGCTTTTTGAAATAAAATTCTCTGTGTGTAATGACAGATGAATGTGGATGTTTTTTTGGACAGAACATGGGTGTGTGAATAGGAAGTGAAGAAATATAATAAATATTGAATAGAATCAGTCAACAGTTTGGAGTATATTGAATGATAATTCTTTCGTATGAATTTTCATCAATTTTTTTCTTAGTAATATAAGTCAGATGTATATTTTTGTAATACCTCTGCCAGATTAAAAACAATTAATCACATTTTTATTTCCTGGATGATATTCGTTCCACTTTATGCGTAGTGTGAGGTTGTTGCCAAATAGTTGACCTTTCATTTAAATTTTAAATATGTCTTTTGTGTTCATTTCCACAGCAATCATCACAGAGCGCTAATTACATAATTGAATCGACATATGACCTATAAGCGGTACATTACGCTTTCCAAAGAAAAGGAGATTCTCATTCTGGAAATTCCCGTATTTGTATAAAATAGGCTTGGAGTAATGATAATAATAATTGTCTATATACATATCTCTAACAAGTAATTGATAAAATATAATTGATAGAACGTACATAAGGGTGATGTTTTATCTCAGTGGCAGTTCGTGAATATGCATTTATTCAAAGCAACTTATTTCGAATATGGTATTTGATTCTTCGGAAACAACTTTTTACCAGATTACGAATCCACTGTGAAATTTGCAAGAAAATGTGGACAGCTTATATATCTACCTAAGGAGTTAGTTACCAGTCTCATATTCTATGTTGATATTATGTTAATTTAGTAGTCTTTTAATTAATTAAACGGTTTTATTTAGCCTGCCCAGTTTGCTTGGATCAAATTAAGTAATTGAAGTTTGACCCCCTTCCTGTTAACAAATTGATCTGATATTTGGTACACACATTTAGTTTTGATGACAATACAATTCAATAAATTCTGTGTCATTATAAATCCAAGATGGCGGCAGCTACAAAATGGCGGATTACATATTGTTTCACAACTACCTCAATATGGGTATCAAATGACAGGTTTCCGAAGGAGGCCATTTCCAACACTTGATTTAGTGCAATTCGTTAGTCTAGATGTTAATGTTATTTAATATTCGTTGTTATTGTTACATAATTAGTAATGAAAAATTGTAAAAATAATAATTTCCAAAAGAAACATTTAATTCCCCGTATTATTCCTTGTGAGGTGCAGGAAAATGCAATTAGGTCGACTTTTTTTTCTTGAAAACTAAGCAAGATACGAAAAAAAATTCAAGAGGCAAAAAAGTTGTATTTCTAATTGCTCAATCCAAAGAAATAATAAAAATTGCACAAAAGTCAGTGGCGTACATTTTTATGTCAAAAATATTCGTTCAAATCCCGCTCGAGACGCCACTGTACTTGATAAATTGAATCACGTTCGGGCTAAATTAGCTCCTTAATGTTGTAAATACCATTGCGGATTTGCGGATCCATGTTTATATGAACATTTCGTCTTGAAATTACCTAAAGAATCGTCTGTTAAATTTCTGGCACATACTTAATTAACACCGTGTATAAAAAAAAGAAAGTATATACAAGTATAGTGTAGTATACTATACAATTGTCTAAAATTGATAAAAATCACACTGAACCTCAATTTCAAATGGAGGTGTCGTTCCAAGGAGCTTTGAGAAATTCATTGATGAAATAAAAACAATATTTTAATATTAGCACTTTGCATTATTTCTTGAATAATCCTAGAGGAAGTTGTTTCAAACTAGTTGGTAACTTGTTGTATAACTGCAGTTTAGGTGAGTTATTCCTGGACACGTCAAGTCGATAAAAAGGTATTTTGAACAGATTCGCTGATCTCGTATTATGATTATGAGATTCAGATACATTCGAATAACAATGTCTGTTTTTGTGAATATCTATCACGGCATAATAGACAAACAGGCAAGATACTACCCAGACCCTTCTCCAACCGACTACCATCTTTTCAAGCATTTCGATGACTTTCTCATCGGTGGAACCTTCGTCAATTAGGACCAGACAAAAGCGGCCTTCGTTGATTTCATCGAATCCCGAGCACCTAATTTTCATGCTGACGCGATCAATTGATATGTGTTACATTGGCAAAAGTGTACTGAGCAGATTCATAAAAACGGACAAAACTCTTGAAACAACCTGATAGTTGCATTTTCTCTTTTGCGTTTTGAAATTTTATATAAAGCACATATGTTGAAAAGGTAAATTGAATCTTAACTTCATATAAGAGGAAAAAAATGAGAGTGTGTTTTATAATAGAAACATTCAGGTAATCTTGAATATAATTTATTACTCAAAATAACTCGGTAAACTTAAAATGGGTCATTTAGCTTATTCAATGGCAGGCCTTGTCCAATCCTTCTTCGAATCTGTTTTGGTGTTTTAAAAATGTATCCATATCTCGTACCAAGATGATCGTAAACCCAAAACAAATTATTTTTTAAAAGTAAAAATTTGTTGTTCATATACTCCCTATATATTCAAATTTGAGTTTATTTGAAAATTCAACCGATTTTAATCGTGATACGAATCACTTCATGAAAATCAACCCCAGTTTCGTCCCTCGAGTCGACCGCCACCTACCTGTTGCTGGATCGCACTCTGAAACTTGTTGACCGTCGCCGAATTCTTGTGAACGCTCGGCGAAGCTTCGCAACAACAATACACCAACAAGTTGTTGACGCAAAAAAACCAAAGAAACATTTTCCTGCGCTTCATGGCGCCGATATTTTTCTTTTGCACGCACTATTCGAAAAACTGTATAAAGTTCTCTCTTCGGCCGCCCAGCGCGAAACCGCGTCCGGATCAAGATCAAGGATCAAAACGTGTGAAGTCTCTCTCGCGATTGCGGTAGGTTCTGAGACGTTATGACTCCGTTCGTGGCTGCTGCGGTCACTTGGAGCACGCTCTCGGGGGACGTCTTCGTAGGCCGGTCAACGGGGGAATTAATGGTCTCGGGTGGGATCTCTTGGCCGGAACGCTTTTTCGCGATTACCGAAATTGATACCACAAAACCTCAAAAGTTTATCGTTGAATATTTCAACAANATTGATTTAGTTTAGTTCTTTATCGGGGATGGTTATCGCCGTCGTGTTCAGTTCAGGAACTGATCGCGATTTGAGAGTTGAAATTCGATATAGGTGCAGTTATAATTAATTAACATTTTTGTTATCTGTTTGTAATGTTGCGTCCTTGAACAAGTACTAATAGTAATAACGAGTGTGATAACAACGCAGACTTTTTCCAGTGTAGTGATTCCAATAGCGATGGTGAATAATGCGGAAAAGAGATACCAGTAAATAAGATTTGGATGCATTTGAATATTGAAACACAGATCGTATGTTTCAATGTATATAAGAATCTACATCTCAAGTTTGGTTTCGAGGCAAACAAACTATTACAAGCAACATCAGATTTGACCGAAATTCCTTTCTCAACTGTACGTAAAATAGTCAAAAACAAACCTTATGAACGAAAGACCCGATTTGATGCATGATTACAAAAATCTTCAGATGTTCATCTAATAAAATCATAAAAAAAACAATATACGACTGTTACAACAGCAATGAGATTCCTACAATTGAAATCATAAGGAAGAAATTAATTACTTCCGGCCATAACGTGAGCTGCTATGACAAAACTCTTCAGAATTGGATAAAGAAACTAGGATTAAGATTCAAAATAATAAACAAACGTCAAGCAGTTATGGAAAGCAGAAGAATATTTGATGAATTGCGTAATACAGGTTTTTTTATATCTGAGGTCTAGTATGTACTGAAAGAAGCGAAATTTATATAAAAAACACCTTAATTTTCTTACGATGTAATCCACCTGGTGATTCCATCTTAGATGAGAGTCAAATATGACTCCAAGATATTTTAGGTGAGATACAGACTTGATTCGCAATTGGTTGTGGATTGTCAAGAAAATGAATTTTGGGAGGGAAGATTGGTAGCTGCAAAATGGTGCAAAAACAGTTTTCCGATATTAAAGGTTAATTAATTTACTGCAATCAAACCAGTCTTTCATTACCTCTAGATCTTTTTCCGCCTTTTCTTGTTGGCTTCTTGCCAACTTTTTCCCGTATAAAATATCGCAGTCATCTACGAAACTTTCTTCTATTTTCACTTCAGTTATTGGTTTTTTTAGATAACTTGTAAGAAATCTGTATGACGATTCTCTAAATTCCTATATCCTCCAGGATTTTAAGAAGTTTTTTTAATACCGATCGTTTGTTATATTCACTCGACTGATTGTCTAAATCCCTTCCTAATATCTGAATACTGTTCGAAAATATCTTACTAAAATTTTCAGTTTGGACTCCGTTAACTATAAGCACCCTTTAATGACTGGAAAGAAGCAAGACGAAAAATTATCTCACGATCAGTATTTGTCGAAGACACAACGATGCTTGAAAGATGCCGATGATTCATCGAAGATATGTTGGTCGAGAGTAAAATATACCAGGAGATTATCATTATTCATTTGATTTTTTATCGGAAGTTGCTTGTCAGAAGTAATTCTGATGGGGATAGGTAACGGTCGACGAAGCGTTTAAATGTTTCTGAACATTTTTGTTGAATATTTATTATATTCCACGAACGAAACAGACTCTTCCCTCGCCCACAAAAACCATTTTTATTCAATAAAAACCGACACGAATGCTATTGTTAAAAATAAAAATGTTCACATTATTTTGATACTTCATTCAATTTACCGGAACTTGTAATCTTTCATGAAAGTTTATGATGCCATCAGAAATATTTTGTGCAGTTCTATTTTTATTTCTCTGTTGAATGCTGTCGAAACTTATTTTGAAGGTATTCCTCCTACACGCATGAGAAGTTATTCTGAAAGGGCTTTGCACATCAAAACGACCATTGTTCGAGATAATAATTTTAGAGACATTAAAAATCGTTCGTGCGTACGAAGTCGCTTCAGCGTTTTATTGGGCAACTCGCTAAATCGCGTCAAATATGTCTGACCAGATGACTAAACATATTTAGGACGTTTGATATTGTCTGTTTCTGGTTGAATTTAACGTTCGTATTAATTCACACAACAGGTTGTTGAGTTGAATGTAACTACAGTTGTGACGACGAAAGAATACACATGCTTCATCAATAAAATACGCGGTATAACACTTTTTTTCAGTCAGCAACCTTTTTTTATTTGAGTGAAACTTTTCGTTTGATCAAAGAGGGCTCTTGTTAGGGAAATAACTTTGCACTCTGTACATTGAAAAGGATAGCTATACAAACGTGAGAAGTCTTCAGTTTCTTAGATAATAAGATCGATTGATGACGTATTAGTATCGTTTGACACATTACATTCCGTTGTTTATTGAAAAGTTTTTACGGTTTTAATTTTTTTATACTAAGAAGATAATTGTTTTTACGGTAAGTAACCTAAAACTACACTGGGTATACATTATAGTGTATATAGTGTATACCCATATACACATAGACATGCATTTGCATATATACCTACATATACACACATAATCACGCATACACTCTGTAAAAGCCAAATAGAATAAATTAATTATTTCGGTTACTGTACATATTTAAAAAGAAAATCCCGAAACACGTCAAATGAAAGTTATATTTTGTCATTCTTCAACGTAAAAATGCCACCACTACCTTCAACCCTCTTTGCATGACAGGTACAACCCCCAATTTTTTAAATGGGAAGTATAGTATATTCTAATTGGATGATATTGTTATCCAACATGTCCATCATTTGCTCAGAAAAATAAGTTCTATCAAAATCGTTTTCCATGAGCTCCTGAGTAGGTATCATTTTATAGGGATGCATTTTATTTTCTTTTAATATGTTTACTATCGATGTATGGCTAACATTGAATGTAGTGGATGCCTGTCTACTTGATGTATGTGAGTTTTCCTCAAACTCAAGCATCACATCTAATTTGAGTTCATCACTCATTGCATTGGCAGCTGCTTTTTTTATCTGCCCCACATGACCAAGCTTGCGAAACTGCTTCTCTATTTTGCTTTGAGATATGGGCGGTAAATTAGGAAATTTCTCATGAAATAGGCGAGCTACTTCCTGTTATGTTTGGGTTTTAACTCCGTAACCAATCATTTGTAAAACTATTATTTTATGCATGTACGTTAATGTAACCATTTGTCAGACTTGAAGTTAACGAACTTTAAACTCAAATTGAAATACTGACAACTAATGTTGTAATATACAAAACTGGTTGACAAGGCGTTTTGAACTAACGTTGCCACGGAAATTATTTACAGTTTTTTAAAGGATACCATTTAAAAAGAACATTGCTATGGTTTTTGCTTACTTTCTTATTATTAATACCTCAATATGAAATAAGTTGATTGTTGCAATAAACTTGATAGCGATAACATTTTTTAATAGAGAATGGGAATACTTCCCATTTAAAAAATTGGGGGTTGTAGGTACCTGACATTCGACGGGGGTATGTCAAATTATAATTTAAATTTGACGTGTTTCGGGATTTTGTTAAAATATGTACTGTAACCGAAATAAGAAATCTATTCCATTTGGCTTCTACACACTGTATATGGGTGCGTGCGTGCTTATAACAGATGAGTTTTTTGTCTTATTAATCAACTGAATCCATAAAAACGGCATACCTCATTGGTCGAAATTTTTGTGAGCTAAGAATCGACGAGGTCTTACTTTTTAAGTGCGATCAAAGAAAACACTCCTCTGAATCCAATTTTTCGTGTATGCGGTTAATAAAACAACAGAAGATTTTAGGAAAAAATCTTTCTGATTTTCTACTTCTTCATCGTTCATCGAAAAATGTGGAAAACTTCAAAAAAAAAGCAAGAAAAAAAAAATATGTAAATCATACACAGAGGTTTTTTTCAGCTACAAAACTAGAAGAAAAATCCCATTCGAAACAACTACTTTCATTTGATCATTGAATAACGCGAAAATCACTTTCCCATTCAGTTTGTACTGGAAACATTCGTTATGAAATTGAAACATATATCATTAATAGAAACGCTGCATTATGTGATGTATGGAAGAGATATAACATGCCATTTGCGAATAAAATAGTCAGTGGTGTACTACGAAGTTTCGGGTCAAGACACTTGTCTTATCATCGTTTTGGATAACATTACCAGGCGAGCACTAATTTCTTTCATAACATTACTTCATGTCACCATGACAGTACGTTTATACACATTCATACGGGTAATTCTATAAACTTTTCATAGTTCTATAATCTTCATTCACATGTTGTTTTTTTTTGTTGTATATCTTCAATTCAGTTCATTTATTTACAACTTTATATTTTGTTGCGTAAAATTTTGAAAAATGTTTGTAAACATCAAAGAGCAATCTTTTAAACGCATATTTAGTATGGAACAAAAGAAAGCGTTGCTACAAATTTTTTCCCACCGAACATAAATATTGAATCTTCAATATTCGTGATTCATCCTATCAAACAGGGGCTTATCAGATTTATTTGTGACGCTTAACCTAACATTTCAACTAATTCGTAAATTCGAAAGGGATGTTTGAACTTGATAAATAAGAAGAGACTTGTACATTTATTAGTAACCGGCGGCGTCTTCAGTTTCTTTAGAGATTATCGAAATAAGTAAATAAAACCATCAACGACCAGATAAGAGATTCATAATGGGAAATAAATTACTTCCCCGTTGGATATTATTTGTCATTGTGTGACGCTGATATCTTTTAAGCTCAATGAAAATTTCCTCGGTTATGTCTTGATTATTCTAAAACGAGCACTAACATTTATTAATGTTGTCTTTTGCTCTAAGCGACTTTGAAAATTTGCAGTAAAATATTGTCTCAACGAAGTTAATAATATTCTTAATATAAATGGTTGTCAGTTCGTCCCTAGTAACATCATCTGTAGACAGTGGCAATGCAATACCT